TTTACAAGATTTGTCAAGCCTAAAGTTGTAAGGAAAGATATATTAAAACGATTAAAATCCCCAGCAGCAATGCATAAAAACTAGTCTAAACCGGTTATAAGTTGTGAAGAGGAGTCGACAAACAGACGAATATCAGAGACAGGCGTGTGGGGAGCGATGCAAATGTTCGCTAATGTAATATGTTGAAAGTGACCGATAAATCGAGGCTTACAATAAACTGAAATACAATTTATCTTGACAGTATTAAATTGAAAACATTTACGAGCGTTTTTGCACCATTTCCTCTTGACGAAAGTGACTGCTCCACCACCTTTGTGAAGAAGATTCACATTACGGTCGCCTCGGAATATGTCAAATCCATCAAGGTGCACGACGTTGTCCTCAATGTCAGGATGTAGCCAGCTTTCCTGGAGTAGAATTGCCCCTACATTCTTGCATTCCTTCTGGTGCATAATGCTCCTGACATCATCGAGTTTTCCCATGAGCGAACGAATGTTACATAAGATAATAGATGGAACAGTCAAATTATCAACAGAACGCCGCCTAAGCGCCACACGCCGGCCAGCACGGTGTTTTTTATGGTGTCCTTGACCAGATTTTTGCAGTCGTTTGAATCGATCTCTCACAGATTGGGCAAAAATAAGAAACTGATGTTTCTGCGCGATAATCTGCAAGGATTTCAAAAATCTGGCGTTGTAAGAAAACTTTGGACCGTGAGAATATAACGAGTTGATTCAAAAGTGACCACCCGTTCCTCCACTGTAACTTTACGAAATAATATTTCGCGATAACGAGACGGTTAAATTTAAAGGCCCCGTCACGTCTTATCTATTTTGTTTCTCATCCAAGCAGGTAGTCAAAAGACATTAACCATAACTGCCTCACCAAAGTGCACGGTCGAGGGTCTCATGAACTGAGCAGAACCTTTTTAAGCGCTCTTAATTGATTATTTGGGTACACGTAAGTCGATGGTTGCGGAAGTGCAGGTACCTTCTTACGCTTATGTTTTTAGTACGGACCACCATGACATAAAAGCAACTGACTATAACTTGTCCTTGTTGCATGTTAATTTTCTTCATTATTTACGAGCGTTCTCTTGTTCTCCCCGGAGTATTTGCGAAAATCCGGATCTTTTGGGGTCCGATCTATCAACAATATCTCTCGAAAGATCCATGCTTAACGGTCGGTAATTCGTCTACCGTATCGCGCCTTATTTGTAGTTGCCCCTCCGGGTTGAAGATGGTCACGTGGACTCCCAAAGAAGATATGGTGACGAGGCATGGCTTAGTGCACATAACTGTTGCGTGGACTATGTATCTGTCCTCTTCCAAACCGGGATCCAAAAGACTCCGTATATGGTCTGGGGATACTGAAAGACATGGCAGTGAACTAACAGCAGTAGCGTTCTTGTCCTTATTTATCACATCAAAATGCTTGAAGAGGTGTGTTTGTATATACACGATTAGACTGTGTGCTCTATATTGACCATAGGGATTCACTTTCTTTTCCCTTCTCAAACTGCTACACCTACGTCTACTTTACGCATTCCTACTTACTTTTTGTACATTGTGTTTGACAGCTTTCAGTGAAGTTGGTTAGTTGGTAGTTCTCTCTACGAAAACGACGATCCTGGCTGGTGCTACTGCTGTTGAAGTGTTTTCCTATCTGTGTTGTTTTTTGCATGCACAACCCTGGTTTTTGTTTTCTATTTTGTGTTTACGTCTTTGCTCAATATTCACTCCATTAGGTTGCATGAGTATAATGATTCGAGTTGGATCGACTTGAAAGACCACAAACTATGACCGTTGTTTTATGCAAAACACAAAGCAGACCTGTTTTCGATGTCAAATAAGTACCTTTGTGCTTCTTACACCTGACATTGCCTTTGTGTCCAAAGCACCTGAAGTTCGTAGAATGTTCTTTGAGTACCTGGACCTGCTAACGGCTCCAGCCATTGCAAATATTAACAAAGGTTTGCTTTTGAAATAGTCAAAGGCCGTCACCATCTTACAGCGAAATACAGGGAGGCGAACTACACTGACCGCTGCCAAAATCGCAATGCATATACATTGGGATTTGATGGGCGGGTACTGCCGGGGTGTCCAGCCACTTAGCTGGAGAACGATTAGGATTCTCTTCCAAAGCCTTTAGTTCTAACAAGAATCTAACCGCAAGACAGCGGGTGAAGCGAAGTGGAGGCCCATTTACTTGGATCTATTACCCCTCTATCATTTTACCGATTGAGACGCTAACTCGAGTCGAACCCCCAACCTGGAGGACCAGGAGACTGAACTTCGTCTGACCTCTACACATTGACCTTCCAGGCATGATAAGATCTCGTGGCTTTATAAAGTCATCTTGTGTAGCTCGTTGGGTCACAGAGGTGCACAAGCCATCACACCACGTCAAGGTGCAGTCTCGTCGTGAACCGTGAAGACTGAATTGTTCTCAGCGGAATGTCGCCTTGTATTGTATTGTATTTTTCGAAATTACGTGTTCATTAACCAGGGTAGGCGTCATTTTTCTTCAAAAGTCAGACCCGGACTGAAAACAATTTTGCCTTTAAAATACGCACCTCGGTTTTATTTTCGAGAGGTGTTTTTGTGGGACAATTCATAATGAATGAATGATGAATTCGTCTTATAGATGAGACGTGAGCTGGAAATCTAGGAAGTACTGGGCAGCTGCTCCGACTTGCCTTGATCTCATCAGCTGTGCGAATTCATCGACCCAACTGGGGATCTAACCCTGGACCCCATAGGTAGAACGAAAGCATACTACCCACTCGGCCACCGGGTAGCTGATCAAACCGTTTCTCATTTTGAATATACACAATATAGCCCAACTCATCTTTGCGACCTTGTTCATCGTTTTAGCTTTTCAGCTCACGCCTCATTTCCACAATGAGTTCATCATATACTCAAATCAAGTCATGCATTCCTCTCATGTAACAATACTGATGTAATATGTGATAGTCTTGTAAACAACGGTTTTGGTTGTTACATTTTTACCATGGATATTCAACTGTTCGACACGTCAAATTTTGAAACTTTCGAACTTCTGACCGTAGTTCTTGTAAATTCATATTTTGAGTCTCCGAATACAGATCTTAATTACACAACTTATCCACGTACCTTGCTCGTAGTTCTTTAACAAAGCAACTACCATTAGTTTTATTCTTTTGATTCTTCACCTGATTCGCAACTACCTGATGGATAGGTTTCCTGAAGTATCCGCACTGATTAATTTCAATTTTATGTCCGATATACTCAATGAGGGACTGCTGCGCACCCCTCGATTAGCTGCACCACACCTACATGCTCTCTGTCATATTTAGAACCTCGACATTTTCAATCATTACGTGCCATCTCGTTACTCGAGATCGCGACTTCACCAGAACATATTTTGCTCATTTACCGGGTTGTGTGACTCTAGTTTCTCGCCGTCCAACTTGGATCTTTTCCCCATATGGCCTTTATTTCCAAAACTGTCAGATTTCATTTGTGCTCATATGACCACATGTATAGTTCATGCCTAACAATCCTGATTGAATCAGGGTGTAGAAAACACCGGATTACCGAACAGGAGAAGGGAGAACTGTAGGTGAGAATATTAAATAGTTTAACGTTTCTTAGTATAACAAGTCACATTATTTTTCACTACTGTTTGAATGATTGGAAAACCTAACCACCCGAGATTTTCCTCTTAAAGCCGTACCATCTTCACTGATTTGCACGTGGTCCCTTCCTTAGCGCATTCTGATCGTATCATTTTTGTTCTGTGTAACCTGTTTCTTCTGAATCCTCCATCTTCCCATTTTCATTGTTGTCGTGTTGGCACCATGACTTCCCCAACATTCGTCTGCTCATGGTTTCATAAAAACTTTTAAAGCATCGGATTCTTCGAATTTTGCTGAAAGCACAAACCACTAGGTTGGAAAAGTTTCGTCCAAACCCTTGGTCGTCAACTCCGAACTACTTCAGGGAGCTGTGTTGTCTCCGTACTTATTTTTCACGATGGCGATACTCCCTTTCTTCTTTCTCTCCTAGTGTTTTGAAATATGTCGATGGTGTTTGTTTTAACCCGTTTCTTTTGTCTTCACCGATAATCATTACAAGAATTTCTCCTCCCAGTTGGTCCAAATTTAATTATAAGTAAATGTACGCTCTTTCCTATGGACCCCGCAGTTACAAATAACTACTCTTTATCTAGGGTGGGCTGCTGTATCCTTAATTGCATCTGTCATTGCAAATTAGGAAGCAAAGACGGTTTTGCTACTCATAATGAATTAGTTATACTTTGTTGCTACCCGGTTAATTTCGCTAACTCACCTAAACAAAATTCGCTCTAGTGATTATTCGATTAGTTTCTTCAATTTCAGTAAATGAATTGGATGTGAAAGTTTCAGACGGTTACAAACTCTCGTGTTAACTTTGCGGAAAGGACTCTTGTGGATGCTGACCACTCATTGCACACAGTCCAAATTCTGTGGCTACCGTCCTTCTAAAAGCCTTAAATTCCGATACATGCTACCTCGCGTAAATATTTACCAAAACCACCCTGCACCCTATCTAACACGTATACTCACAAACAGAGAGAGAGAGGGGGTAACAAGCGAACTTCATCCTGACTATGAATTGTTTGTATTATCTATGTGATCCACTTTTATCAAGCTATCTGTATTGGGTTCCATAGCTTTTTGTTAGGGTATGAGATGAGCGACTTCTTTATCCTAATAGCTAACGGGCTTTAACTTGACCCCAGTTGCAATGAATACTGTTAACCGTAGTTTGTTTCTTCCCCGTATCCTCATCATTTTCACGTCATCTAGTGGTTTGTTGTGTTTTTTCAACTACAAGCGACTGGTGGCAATTAAAGCAGACGGTGATCGTTATTCGCAATCTACATCCCCCCTCAGTTCTTTTTTTACTCGGGTTTCCGTATCATAACTTCGTTATGCAATCGCTTCATTTATTCACTTTTCTGTCTTTTCGTTTCAGATCACGAGGTTTCTTCCACTAACACACGGTTTCATGTTGCTATCACCGATTTCGGATGCGCCATTCGAACGACACCGAAGGTTCCAAGGGATTTCCAGTCCAGTTTCCTTCAGATTATCGGTCATCTGTTTAATCCAAGTGCAATTCCAACTCCACAACCGGATGTGTTCACACACAGCGGGAATGTATCACTTCTGGCTCCAGAGATAACGGTAGTACTCGCATCCCGTGATTCATCCGAACCAGACTCTGGTGTTATATCGCCCCTAGATTACTCACGTGCGGATTTGTGGGCGGTTGCGACACTGGTCTACTCTCTTTTTGGACAAAACAATCCGTTCACTGATGGTGTATGTGCCTATTCTCATGTGACCTCAATTTTCCGTTTAAATCTTGCCTCATAGTGGTTTACTGTCTCGTGAATTTTCACTAATAATGTGCTTCACACTGTGCGATTCCCAATTGACTTGATTATTCAACAGCCACAGCGTTGCACTTATGCTTTTTTATTTATGTTCAATTTTATTTTCCAAAGACTCTGTCTTCCGTCACGTATTCCGAGTCCGAGTTGCCCAGCTTGCCGGATCGTGCTCCAGGCATTGTTTCCTGGCTCGTGACCAACTNCCAACTGCCTTCGACGTGAACCATCCATGAGACCGCCTGCAGCCCTGGTCGCTGATGTATTGCATTCGTGGTGTCTTCTGCGTCATTCCTGTCGTCGGAGGCAACAAAGTCGTCTAGGACGCTACTCGGAACAGCCCCACGTGAGCAAAACCAGCGAGTTGAATGGAATTGAGGTGTGTTTTGGTGCCGGATAATTAAATCCAGTCATAAGTTCATTGATTTTTTTAAATTACCTGCCTAATACTGATGCATTTTTGCTGCAGAGTCAACGTGTCACTCGCCTATGAAAAACTGTGGAAACAGTTGGTTCATCTTTGTCAGAAAACTTGAGCAATTAGCTTCGTATATCTCGTTCAGATAAACAAATACGTGCCAAACTGGCACGAAATTTCAGTTCAGTCATAATCGGATTCCAAAGAGAAGTTTTGCACTGACCAGCCTGTCATTGTGTATTGAAATTCAGGAATTCCGACGAACATGGCACAAAAAGTGCACTATATGATGTGGCGTTGAGGTTTAGTAACCTGCCAAGGCTCAGCGCAGGCAGTCTATGTGGTTCGTAAATTTGCACCAAACACTTTCCAACTGTTGATCACAAATCGTTCCCCACATAGGTTTGGAGGTCTAGCGACACAGGGTTCAGTGTCGACACATTTCAGAAATCAAAACTTCCTCTTCGTTTGCGTTAATCAGTTGGAAACCGAACGACAGTAGTATTCCGTTGAATAGCCTCATTGTGACACTGAAAAACAGTACCATCACAATGAGACCGCACCGTGACGTGGTGTGATGGCTTGTGCACCTCTCTGACCCAACGAGCTACACAGGATGGCTTTTGTCAAGCAAGGAGGTCTTATCATGCCTGGAAGGTCAATGTGTAGAGGTCAGACGAAGTTCAGTCTCCTGGTCCTCCAGGTTGGGGGTTCGACTCGAGTTAGCGTCTCAGTCGGTAAAATGATAGAGGGGTAATAGATCCAAGTAAATGGGCCTCCACTTCGCTTCACCCGCTGTCTTGCGGTTAGATTCTTGTTAGAACTAAAGGCTTTGGAAGAGAATCCTAATCGTTCTCCAGCTAAGTGGCTGGACACCCCGGCAGTACCCGCCCATCCAACCCCAATGCATACACAAAAAAATAATTCCATGCCGCATCGGTCGTCTCGCAGGATATTCAGGACCGCGTTGCCCATTGCATCGAGCGGGGTGGGTAGTGATAAGTGGGTTACTGCTCAGATATCCCGACCTTTAGTTAATTCTTTGTTTTCAGTACCCAGATCTCTCCATTTCCCCCTTCTTACGACCTGTAATATTCCCTCAAGCAACTTGGATGTCGCTCGCCAATGGTCGTTGCCAAATAGCACTGTAAATAAAGTATCACGCACCTTCAAAGTGCAAAGTGATGCTGCAGGACTGGGGGTTCGCCTACTCCCGCTCTGAAACTAAATGGTCAGGACTTAGTTACGGTGGATTGCTTTTCCTACCTAGGTAGTTGCGCAACCAATGTCGGTAGCGCAGCAAAGGAGATAACCGCCGACATTTCCAAGGCTGGAGCAGTATGGGACTGAAATACCTTTGGCATAACCGCGACGTTTCACTGAAGTTGAGCGGTCGTGTTTATTGTGCTGGCGTTCGTTCAATCCTGCCTTTATAGTTGTGAGACCTTGAATTTGCGAGTAGAAAATAAGCGTCGCATTGAAGTTTTCGATTATCGATGTTTTCGTTTATCCTTTCACTCTTTCCACTTTTCATATCGTTGGCATACAGTGATTGTCAATCAATTTACTCTACTAGTTCTCATTTGGTAAGAGTCTGCAGGGTTGGATTGTACCATTGTCTAACCTTATTCAATTTGTCTTTATTATGTTTCTCTGGTCTACCGCGTTTATCACTGATTTTGGACGTGTATCGTTAATTGCATTGCTGGCGTCGGAACATTCTGTTCTACTGAATTTTTTCACTATATTTTCAGACAAATTTAATCGACCTCCACCTATCCAAAGAATTGGAACAGTTGCCTCGGGGTGATTTGTCTCCCCCGGTGGCCACTCGACTCCGGGCGTTTCTGAATGCTTGTTGGGCTGCAGACTGGTTAACGGGACCAGCTAGACCACCTAACGGATTGCGAGTGTCTTTCTATCGCCGTGTGACGCTCAATAGGTTGGCAATGTGCTTGCATATAGTCATTCGTGAGGAGGCCATGCGCGCTCACCGAATTACGAGTTCCATCGCAGCAGCTGTTGGCCCCATCACGTTTCCCGTTCAACTGCTCACTTCGTGTATTCGGTGAATCTCGTTCACCCATTAGTGCATTCAACCTAATCATCCCCTGTCCACACACGCGCACACGCCCACCAGACTACACAGTACATCTATCTACTAAACCAACTTTCTCACATCAACTCAACAAATTCAATCAAGAGACATTTCTTGCATTTTTGGATCCTAAAGTTATTTTGTTTCTTTTCTATCAGTCTGATTTTTTCAACTGTCGTATTTCACAAATCCGCATACTTTTTTGCCCTCTGAAAAAGCTCTGTTTCAGCAAATCTGTGATACCCAGTGTGCTTTCGACATTTGAAAACATTTTCTCATGTATCGCAGCAACAGTCACCATTGTTCACCTCTGCTCTCATCAATCAGGCGACAAACGTAATTCATCCTATCTTGTCATTATGTTTGGTTTCGATCATTGTTCTGCCAGATCATCCAGATACTTCATGCCATTGTTTTAATGCAAAGCGGACTGTTTCAGAAATCTTTGTAAATATCAGTTTGCCATCTACAAAATCTGTTGTACTGGCTTTCAAGCAATCCCACTTCGAGAGATATAGCCAAACAAGTGAACTAGTTTTCTCGTTCGTTAGCTATGCACGGCTTGTATCACAGGCGGGCATATATGTGCATTCAAAGTTTACCATCGTTCGCTTCGGAATCAACCAACTGTGAAATTTCGGCTTGGAATTCCGGAGTTAGAAGCAGTCGGTTATGCATACATCTGTTTTTTTCTTATTACACACTAGTGTGATGAACAGCAGACGGGAAGGACCACCTAGTCACGAAGACCTGTTGTTCAGGGATAGTAACCGGCAACCTGATCCTCGAGACTTGAAGTGGTGAACCACATAAGGATCCGATAGGTCGAACCGGGCGACAGCAAAGCTCTCTGCCACCAAAAATGAACTCATTTATTTTCTTGCTTAACGAACTGAACAGTGAACATAGAGACTCATTTTATTGTTTTCTATGTTATAGTTACAATATCCGTGGATTTGAAACAATCATGTCGCAGCGTGTGTTGTTGGAATACCGGATCGTTAGATATTTTACATTCTCCCCTGTCAGAAAATAAGAGGTCAATTCTTGTAAAATCGATTTGCGCGCATTGTTTTTCGATTTATCCACCACTTAGCCCACATGAGATCATAGTCTACATTGGAGAGTTGAGATAACTTTGATTAGAATGCGACGGGCACATTCACTTAGGTACAACTCGACCTTCACGTAGAACTCCACTTGAGCCGATCATTTTCCCTTCGAATACATCGGGTGAATTTCAGAAAGGAAAAAATTGGACCATTGCATTGCTAGATGCGGTTACATTCATTCCAATTCAACTAGAGCACAATACAAGGCTTTCTGAACAAGTAAATTGATTTGTAATGATAAGGTGGTGGTGGCACAATTATTTAGTCGCTGTCACCGGCATGCTTTGGACCCTATGGTCCGAGGTTTGAGCCACGCCACCCGACTATGGTGGTAGGCAGCTCTGCTGTCGACCGGTTCAATACCACGACTAGCCTATCGGGGCCTTATGCGATTCACCAATTCAAGTTCCGGGGTTGCTTGTCGGTTTCCATCACTGTACAGCAGGTCCTCGTGACCATGGAGGTTCGCCCCGTCTGTTGTTCATCACACTTAACTGTGTAATGAAAAAACAATATCGTCATGTGAGGTGTTATCTTGGACCTAGGTGACAGTAAGTAAGGAGCACTCGATTTGGCCCCAGATGTAAACAACTCTGTCCGGGTGCAGTCGTCTGCTACACATGTACTGCCTTTTTTTGAAGAGTAGATGGCGTGCATACGCAGAAGCTGAGTATACCAGTTATTTTCAAGCGAATACTCTGTGCATCGAGTTCAATTGGAGAATCTGCTTGTCATAAGCTGCTTTTTTTCCGATTTTGTGTTAACTTGAGTTCATGAAGCACTGGGAGTATTTAGCCTTCAAGCGATTCTTCCCCCACTTGAGCATAAGTTAGTGTCAATGGTTCGTTTATGAAGAATCTTGGGGGTATCCTCCGAAGTGTAATCTTCAGTACCAGTCGATCTTTTCGAGGATGCATCTACTCCTGCCATGTTCTAATAAGTATACGTATTTTTACTTCCTTGTATATTTATTTAGTATATGAATCTACCGTCAGTTTTCTGGATGGGGGTGGAGTGGACATACATGAGCTGCCTGGGGAAATACAGATGGACATCGTTGGCGGGATTCGAACTCTGCTCATCCAGGCTGTTATTTTGATGATCTTACCAATCGATCACCATTGCTCTTGTGGAGTAACAGGGTGATAGCGATGGCTTTATTTGTTGATTCGTTCACATATCGTTGCTTTCTATATATTTCGATGGCTTGTGAGAGAGCATTCGTCAGGTGAAAACGCGGCATGTCACTGGGCATCAGCCGTGACCCTTATACAGTGGAGTGACCTATTCCCGGTTAATCTGAGACATCAGATTCTAGCTCTGTTAACAAAAAGCGGCTCTACGGAACCTGTGTGCTATCTCCGACTGTCAGCTACTGCATGCCAAGTATAATCAATTTCTTTGACTTTGACCCCGTCCCATTCGTCATCAGGTTCACTGCCTTCAAATATGGCTTTGAAATTGTCCAGTATAGCGATTTCACACACGGATGTAGTGTGCGTTCACCGTTGTGCGGTTCTGCAGGCGTTC